TTCAAAACAAACATTGATGGGCTGTACGGAACCTTCGTAGTTGAACTTCTGACCCATTCCCTCTCTTTTTATACGCAAAACTTTCCCCGAATTTTTTTTTACTAATAATTTTTAAAAACACATGACCTAGTTTTGACTTTGTATTAACATTTATTGACAAATGTAAACAACTAAATTGTTTTGGGGTTGTTTTTATAAATGTTGTTTAGTCAAATACTAAAAACATAAATTGCATTCAGTCTTTGGTTACGTCCGACAAAAACCAGATTTTTGTAACCATATTTATTTTAATAACACCGTACACCGTTTTAGCCTCGAGACTTCTTGTTGATGTCCATTGGAGACAGCGCATCGTGACCTAGAAATTTTTCCCCCTGGTAAACCTAAGGCAGCATTGATTTTTCCGTGTCCGCGTCCCAAGGATGCCCATGTCTTCCTGTCTGTCCACATTACTGGTCCCATCCGGACAGGCACAGCTACTAGATAGGTCATTTTCCAGTCGTCTGCTGGCTGAAATTGTGTAGAAATGTAGATATAGATCCATTTGTTGACTTTGATATTAATTTAGTGGAAGATTTGGATTAATTTCATTTTATCATTTTAATAAAATCATTTTAATTAAGATATTATCAGTAATAATGAGCAGACCTAATGGTTTTATACAAATGAAAATTCTTAATTTTTAACTTTTTACTTTCTCGTATACGAAGTAGGCCTATAGAGAAAAACTTTTTATGCGTGCAAAAAATAAAAATCGAAATCGAGATTTTTGCAAATCTCGAAGTTATACACCTCCATGAGTCGGAAAAAACATAGTTTTGCAATCATGTCAGTTGTCCGTATGTCTGTAAGTGTGTGTGTGTGTGTATATGTGTGTGTCTGAAAACACGATAACTTGCGTATCGTTACAGCTAGGTTGATGAAATTTCATATATAAGTACTAGATCTATATCAAATTTGTAGATCTGTATCAACTTTTCAGCGATTTTTTACAACCGGAAGTGGAAAAATTTCTACTTTCATTTTTTCAAAAGCCTATCACTTGAGTACTTTTTCAGATAGATAATTGAAATTTCACATGTAAGTAAAAGATCTAATTCTCTGCCATCTTTCAAATTTTGACAAATTTCCGTTGACCGGAAGTAGTAATTTTCGATATTTCCGATTGTTCAAAAACGCATGTAAATTTACAAAGTATTAATAATATTCCGCACTATTATACACATTTTGTTTGGCGTCCACTTGGTGTGCAATTCTTTTTTTCTACGAGATTGTATTCTATTTTTAAAAGTTTATGTAATTAATAAACTGGGAGTAATCTCCCTTAAACTTTCTCGAATATTCTTATCTGACACTACGGGAGATGGCACATCACGATATAGACATGATTTTAATCCATTTTTAATTACTTTAAGGAAAATTCAACTGCAATTTTGAGGGGTGAGGTTTGACGTTATTTTAGGATAGGTGGCAAATCTACATATTACATCTCCGCAATCAGATTGCTTCAACTTTTTTCCAATTTTTATTATAGTTCACTGTGTAGAAAATATCGAACTGAATTTGAATTTTATGATACTTTTTCTAACAGTGTAAAGAAAGTGCAAATCGAAACGAACGTTAATGTAAAAAAAAAAATATACACTCCCGAACAAATATATTCCATTTTGAGATAAAGCCCAGGCCTATGTGTAATCTGTTGATACAAATCTAAGTTTCCAAGTTCTTGAGGTCAAATTACACATGTCATATGTTGAAGTCCACTGATAAAGAGTAATAGGTCGTATTTGATAAATTGTTACCTCCCCTAAGTTTAAAATCGTTTCAAACTAAATTATCTGCCCCTAATAGTCGTCACTAAACCCGGCTCTACGATTGTAAACATTTAGCGTGAACCACAGCTCACCAGACCATGTAGGGGTGGGGGTGGTATGGAGCGCGCTTACAGCTTGTTTTCTATCGTCTCCAAGAAGAGAATTATATATATAGATAGACGAGCCGACCCGCGGCATATCATACGCCGCTATTTAGTTTTATTTTCTACTCTTCAGTAATTCATAATTTGTGAATTCGACAGACAGTAGTAGCGTAGCGAGGGGGGGGGGGGGGGCGGGGGGGACATAAGTCCCAGGGCGCCGACCTTAGGGGGCGCCAAAATGGGTTGGAAAAATAAATTGAAAGGTTGAGGGGGTGCAAATCGAAAGTTTGAGGGGGGTGCAAATCGAAATCTCGAGGGGGGGGGGGGGAGTGCAAATCGAAAGTTTGAGGGGGGGGGGGTGCAAATCGAAATCTTGAGGGGGGCGCAAATCGAAAAGTTTGTCCCCGGGCGCCGGTGAGGGTCGCTAAGCCTCTGACCAATGCTGCCACTGAAAATATTAGCTTTAAAACACTATCAGTAGGTCGTTAAGGACAATACTACCCCCCTCCCCCCCCCATGAAAGCAGCCTCCGCTTAGTTACCTCCCCTAAGTTTAAAATCGTTTCAAACTAAATTATCTGCCCCTAATAGCCGTCACTAAACCCGGCTCTACGATTGTAAACATTTAGCGTGAACCACAGCTCACCGGACCATGTAAGGGTGGGGTGGTAGGGAGCGCGCTTACAGCTTATTTTCTAGCGTTTCCAAGAAGAGAATTATATATATAGAAGAAGATACTTGAGGTTAAACTTTGCCCTCCCAGGCAATCAAAGACGCTTGTGTCATTTAGTCTAATCCATGTTATTGGACAACGTGACCATGCTGTTATCCTGTTTAAAAAAAACGTAAAACTTCTTATTGTATTGACTTACACAGCAACGCAGAATCTACAATTGTAATTTTAATCTTAAAAAATTCTTGTTTTATTTATCACAAGCTGGGTTGCATGGCTAAATTTTTTTAATCTTCACTATACTAACCTGCACACTTTTTTTTAAATTCAAAGATGTTGTTTAATAAGTTTTAGATAAAATTTTTTTTTTCTTTTCCTTAACAAGCTGCATAGTTGACGGCAAAATCGATTTTAAAAATATATTTTTTTAAGGGCCAATTTGTTTATTCATTTTTTAAATTTACATTCACTGTCATCTGTCTAGATGACGTACAGTCAATATGAGTAACATTAATGTCACACACACATTAATATGCCAAACCTTAAAAATTAAATTTGATTTTTTTAAAACATATTCAACCTTAGAAGTGTGTACATCATCAAAGACAAAATAAAAATTAAATAGAATTTTAGGAATTTAGCAAAATGATAGTTTTCAGATAAAAACGCAACTGGACACACCGCAAACGGAAATATGCACAAATATAAATTAATTATATTAGTACATTATTATCATTTAGTCATATTTCCTGGAAAGATGTTTTATTATGCTTCATTTTACATGCGGTCATTCTTTGCTAAGGTCTTTAACTTATTGATTTTGAACATTCCATTGCACAAGTTTTGTGCGTATTTTTACTTTGCACATTTTTCATGTCACCGCTCTCTACACCCCCTCCCCACCCCCACCACACCCCCAACCCCACCCCAGCGTGGGCAATAATCGGAGTTTCTTTCAGTCATCTGGAAAAATGTCAGAAAGAAAGACTGGCTATAATATAAATGTTTGACAATCCAGTGGCGTAGCGAGGTCGGGTGTAACCCGGTGCGGTACTTAATGGTGTCACCCCCCAGAGGCGTAGCGACCCTTCCCGGGGACAAACTTTCAAGTTTTCGATTAGCACCCCCCCCCCCCCCTCAAACTTTCGATTTGCTTCCCCCCCCCCCCCCTCCTCAAGTTTTTCTCTATATATTTTGCTATTTTTTGCCTTGGTGTCACCCCCCTAAATGGTGTCACCCGGTGCGGTCCGGACCCCCCGCCCCCCCCCCCCCCCCTCGCTACGCCCCTGCGATCATCTTAAATTTTTAATATAAATTAAAGCTTATCTAAGTCTCTACCATCTCATTTTCAAAGGAAATGTAGGTCTATCATAAAATTTTGATTATAATAGTTAATCCTAAATTTTATTTTATAGCTTTATCATAATATTATTTGTTTTTAGAACTAGATCTAGATCTAGATCTAGATCTAGTTCTCTAAGTATACTAAACATTAAATGTCAAAAATTAATCGAGGTTGCACGATTACTTTATAAAATAATAATTTGGGAATTTAATATGTGGTTAGCTGCTAGCAGAATAGCCCTATGATGTGGTTATGTTATGGCTTGCAACACTTTACTGATATTTGCGTTTGTGACGAAAAATAAACAATTTCCCTGCAAAAACACGAATAATAGATCAATGACTTAGGGGCCTAGATCTAGATCTATATTGTAGAAAACGAAATTCATTTTTAAAAAGGCGATATGTTTTTTTAAGTTCATAGGAAACCTGGATTTGAAAGACAGTCGTCTGCTAGTATAGCAATTTAAATTACGTCCTAGTCTAGTTCTAGAGAGCGTGGATTACTAATAATTAGAGATCTAGATCTACTAATACTAGACTAGATCTAGATTTTCTAAATCTATAATCTATAGACTAATTTTATTTAAAAATGGTTTCAGAAAACAGAAGTAGAACAGGGTACCCTCAAGTTATAGATCTAGATCTAGATCTAGAATAATCTAGATCTAGAAATCTAGTACTGTACTCATCTCATAGTTTACTTTAAAACTTACAAACATACATTACTTGATCTACGTAGATCTAGTACATCTAGATCTAATCTAGACTCTATCTAGAAAAATCTAGATCTAGATCTACACATTTTTTATATAAAAAACTTTAGATTTATTGAAATTTAGACTAGATCTAGGTAAATTTTATTTTAAGATGTGTAATAAAATAAAAATATCTCTTTAGTTCTAGATCTAGCATTCTAGAGTATCTCTTTTTCTATTGATTAAAATTAAGATGAAAATCAGTATTGCGCCCTGTGGTCATGATTTGATTTCCTGTGTACAATATATAGATCAATGACTAATAATTAAAGTAATCCTTCTACTAAGATGTATTACTTTCTTTTCAGAGAATTAAAGATGTCAACTTCAATTTTTTCCTCACGCAAGCTTCTGTGGTTGATCTGTTTCCTTATGTTAGGGCTGGCATTAGTGTTTCTAACAGTACACATGCAATCAAAGGACACAGCAATTTTTAACATTCATGCTAAACCTGGAGACCTAAACGAAGACACACTTCAAGATAAAGAAGTTCAAACTGTTGTGGATAAAGTTCAGTCGTCAAAATTGAAACATCAAGATATTCCTTCTGAAACAACAGCAAATTCAGTAAAGCAGTACCAACATAATGAGGTACATAGAAAAGATGAAGTGGATAATTCAGGTGCAATCAGTGAGTACTTTTTTCATTTCCTGTATATATTCAATAATCATGGATAGGGATTTTCATCTCGTACAGTTTTCCTAAGTGATTCCAAAATTCCACATTAAAGGCATTAGTATTTGTATTAATTTATACATTGTTCCATCTTCATTTTATTAGTTTTACTTTACATTCTGCTGTATATGAACTGGATAATTGTAAACTCATGTATCAGCACAATATAGAGATTTTATCTGGTATAGACCTATATTATATAATAATAAAGAAGCAAGTTAAAACATATCATAATAATAAGGTATAAAAAATTTAAATGTCCATATAAACTATTTCAGCCTTCTTGCATTATTATTTTATTTTTTGTTTTAATAAACAGTATTATAATATGCTTTCAGACTACCTGGTACAGTATAAAAAACTGTTTGGTGATACAGCCACAAAGGTGCCATTGGCCGACCCTAACCATGAAGACACCATTACAACATGGTGGCAGGCAGCTGCTATGATTGACTGGTACACTAATTATGTTTCAACTTTTTAGATTTCTGCATTGCCAGTTTGTCGTTTTTCATCAACTTTTAGAAGTTTTGCCAAACACAAGGTTGTGCCTATATTACATTTTTCACTGACAGAAAATTTACTGCATTAAACATAGGTACATTAATTCACCTCTGCGCCACAACTGTGAAAATAAAGTTGCATATGGTAACTGGCATGTGTGTCAAGATAAGCCCTATACAGTCAAACCACCTTGTCTTGTTTACTCATTTGGGTGAGTTTTTTTTTACTATTCAACCAGGGGTTTATATAATATAATATTATATTATATTATATATATATATATATATATATATATATATATATATATATATATATATATATATATATATATATATATATATATATATATATGCATGTATATATATATATATATATATGTATGTATATATATGTATATATATATATATATGTATATATATATGTATATATATATATATATATATATATATATATATACACATTACCTTCTAATTTCTTCTTCTAAATTAATTAGAAGAAATCCCTTTCAACTATTAACAACGAGGAAGAAGAAGGTGGTGGGATGTGTGGGTTGGGGAGGGATGCGTGGGTTGGGGAGGGATGCGTGAGTAGCAGACAGACCTTAATCAAACTGCAATTTAAAGAATAATTAGTTTCAATTTATTAATTGCATCAATTAATGAAGTAATTGAATTTACTTTTGAACATATAACTTTAATTACTAAGTCTCTGGCACTTCGAGCACCAATTTAAGTCTTCAGCTGACTTAACTTTATAGCTTAAATTAATTTAATGTGTTATAAGTAAATTTGGATCATGACTGCTTAAAGGTAGTAGGCCTATTGTATCCTTTCTTCAAGACCTTGCAGCTGTTTTAACAACATATTTCGAATGATTCTGTTTCAAAAATATAGGGGAATTTGGGGTCGGCGTGGTCAAGTTGGTAAAGCTCTTGGTTGCTAAACCGAAAAGTCTCGTTTGAACCCTCGGGCAGATGAGGCTCGTTAGCTGGGGACAGCCACTCTTCTAGGAGAGACAACTCCAAAATCAAACAACTGCTGCCTTGTAGTTTGTTCTTGGTTGGAAAAAGGCTGTGGAAGCAAATCTAAAAAGAAAAGCAGGCTGAAATCGGAGTCAATGGCCTCAATGGCGAATAACCAGTTGTCGTGTATACTTAATTGTGATGGAGGGGATACCTTCCAACACTAAAATTAAGAACGAAGAAGAAGAAAGAAGAAGTTAAGCCTACATTCTTTCTTCACCTCCAACTGAGGTAGACTAGGACTGTCCCACAGTCTCTGTGTATTCACTCATAAATTCCTAATTAATGTTTTAATTAAAACTATATTTTGTCAAATAAACCATCATTCCTCATTGTTTTTTTTTCAGAATAAATTTTGATTTCTCCTTCGATGATGCCATGGCAAAACTTGGCTGTGAGGTTCACTCATTTGATCCCAGGTTGGTGGCTTAACATTTAGAACACCTCCATTCCTGTTTTTATTTTTGTTAGACATTTATCATTTTATTTTGTTCCTAAGTTTGAACAGTTTTTTTTTCATTTTGGTCCAGGCTGTGTATCTTGACTTTACCTAATGTTTTTCCTAGGATTTTACTTTAACTTCAATAAATAAAATGTTTAACTGCTAGGATTCACACAAAAAATAAGATAATAATTATTCAGGCTTCTTAATATAAAGGCCTACAATTTTAAATAAATTAATGCTTACATCTTTAGTCCACAACCTAATTCAGAGGTTACAAAAAATAGGCAAATGATAGATTAATCTGTCTAGATATTGATTCTCCAATCCATTATGTCGCTGTTTTATTACTCATAAAATTATAATTAACAGGAGTATATCAAAAGTCAATATGCAAGTGCCACTGGTTCTAAAGCTTTAGTATTATTATGTCAGCTTAAAACTTGCCATTGACTCTCCACTTGGCTCAACTTTTTCATTTACTCCTCAAGCCCATTACTTGCCGTAGTGACCACCAGTGTCTATATTGTGATTGTGAGCCAACTGTCCTAAAACATTATTTCAGCATGAACCAGTCAGATCACAAGCGAGACATCAACAGCACCTTCCACAACCTTGGTCTCAGCAACACCAACACTGATGGTTTCATTGCCAGGAAAGATTCTTATGTCACCAGCAAACAGGTCTGGAAGATGCGGACTTTAAAATCTGTCAAGAAAATGTTAGGACATGAAAAGGTACCTGGAAGAGAATTATTTACATTGCTAAACTAATCCCTCACTTGACAAAAAAAAAAAATTAGTTATTTCCCTTGTGCACAAATTAGTATCTTACAGTTATTTCCCTTGAACACAACTGTTTCCCTTGCAGTTGTTAGTTCCAACAAATTTTTTTTCTCCATTGTGTGCATGCCCAGCTTTATATAATTGTACATTTGTTTTTATTGATCCCATTTTTACTTCCTCACCAGCGTGTTATAGATGTGCTTAAGATTGACATTGAAGGGCATGAGTGGGATGTTGTAGATAACCTCATGGAAACAAACATGTTCCCATCTATACGTCAGTTTATGTTAGAATTCCATCTCTTCCCTGACTGGCCAGTGAAAGAAGATTATGTGTACTTATATAAGGTTGTACTTCTTCTTACAACTTAAAATATCTTTGACTGTTTTTTTAACACCATTTGTGTATTTGAGTCAACCTGTGATTTTCTAATATCTGGTTTTATTTATGTTCAGATTTACACAAGATTGAGGGAGATGGGATTCCGAGAGTACTCTGTGGGCCCTCACCCAAAAACATTGAATACAGAACACTTCAACAATCAAGGAGATTCTGAGTTTGTGAATGCTTTTTTTTCTGCTGGAGAAAATTGGAGATGATTCATGAAGTTTAAGATGAGTCATTATATTCAGTTGTAACCCATGTTCATATATTATTTTTAAGAAATGTACACCAGCATTAAAGGTACTGTCATATATCAGTCATCTTAATTATAATAAGATCTTACTCATTAGTCATCATAAAATTGAGAGATAATTGTTGAAATACCTGAGTTAACAAGTTAAAGAATGATGCTTGATAGAATTCGTTATTAATTCTAGTCTCTATTTTTTGTGATAATTGGAAAGTGTAATTAATATGTATTGTTAATTTGGTAAGATTTTAAAAACTAGGCATTAAAATAGGTTTTAGCTCCTGTTCATCACTCATTAAAGTTATGTTTCATTATTGTTTAAAGCCTGTTAATGTTGAGATGGCAGTTTACCCATCCTCATATTTTGTTTAATTAAAAAAAAATTTTTAATTTCCATTGTTGATTTGACATGCTGAGCATCATCTTTGTGTGGCACTTGTCAAAGATTTTTTTATTGTATCTTAACTGATTGTGATCCAAATATCTAAATTATTTTCTTTGTTTACTGTCAAGTTTATGTTAAATAAACTTCTATACATCATGTTTAAATAGCTGCTTATGAATAACACACAGTCTGTTCATATTTCTTACCTAAATTGTTCATGTTAAAATTCACAATTGTATTGATGTTCCACAGCTTTTATTTTCTCCTTATTAGGATATTATTAACTAATTGAACAAAGTAAGTTGCCCCTAACTGCTTTTGTTAAACTTTTAATTTATGTGCTCCACATTATTCAGTATTAAATAGACTGGTGTATTGTAATAGATGAACAGATAGTGAGGGTTCTAGTAGACTGAAAAATTTAGCTTGTTGTGGTTGTAATTGTGGTTATAATTTCTGATGTAACTTTGTAAAGACTGGTATCAAGTAAGTAATGCACAACTAGTGCTAAAAGCTTAAGTTTGTTGTTGGTTATAATTTCTGATGTAACTTTGTGAAGACTGGTATTGTGTAAGTAATGAACAACAAGTTTGTTGTGGTTATAATTGTGTGCAGCTATAACACAATGTTGTGTTAAGGCTATAGGCATACATTCTGATATAAATTCTTTGGTAACCTGATAATGGACAGTGGGGGGCAGTCCCCTCAAACCCCCAAATGAGATTGAATTTTTATAGCAAATATATATATACTTTTACCAGTGCAGTGTCTGTTCTTTTTCTGAAAGAAACACTGACAATGGATAGTGCTATGACAGTGTGGATATGGAGTGGCTGATTTAAATAAAAATCCCCTTGGCTGATAGTGTGGATACAGTGTGGATGCTCTCTAGCACTTCCCCAGCAACAAAGTACTCAACTGTGTACATAGCCAGCTTGTACAGTTTTAATTGACTTTCCTACTTGTATTATGTCACATGCTGTGTACTCTTAACTTTACTGGTGGTCTCTGCATAATTTAGTTATATACCTAATTATTGATGGCTCTGCTAAGGGCCAGTTATCTAATGATTGTATACCTTAATTGTTTCATTGAATTTATTTGTGGAAATTTTCTGTTTTTATTAAACTTTATGTTGTTAAATAAAGTAGAAAAATGTTCTAGTTTGTATGACTTAGTTCATGAGCAAAAGCTGCATTCTAATATGTTTCATCCCCCTATCTAAAATCTGTTCAAAGGGACAACAAGAGTAGTCTCAAAACAAGTCGAAAGACCCAAAAATTATTTTAAAAATAAAATAGTTTTTAAAAACATTGTGGTTTTAAAACTTTTGTTGTGAGGTTTTTGTCAAACTTTACAGATTTGATAGTTATAGTACTTTTGGTAGCTAAACAAAAAATTTAAAAAACTAAAAAAAGCCCAAACATTTGGGTTTTTATTTTCATTTTTATTATATTAATAAACATGGCATAACTACGCCATGTGCAAAAAAAGTAAAATTTGTATTAAACAAATATATCTGCAAAGTTTTGAGTACAAATTGCTACAAAGAGGGGTTTTTGAGGTCTTTTTAACGCTTGATGTAAATAAATAGATATGTGGCCTTGAATGTAAAAGAAAATAATTTCAAGTTCTCTGCATTTGTAACTCTTGTAACATGGATTCTTAAAATATTAAATTTCTGAAATATTATCAGCTTATCCTTAATTTTTTTAAATATTTGTTTTATGGCCACTATGAACACAAAATTGACAAAAACATAATTTTTATCCATGTCAACAATACTGATTGAAGTCCTTTGCCAACTCATTGATGTCCATTATAATGTTTGCAGAAATAGCTAACAAATTGTTTTGTTTGATTTGTTGAGTATTTTACATTACAATGTTAACAAATACCTGAATCAGTCTGTTGTGTTCCTGTCAAATCTACATAAATATTCTTAAAAGTAAAATTTTAAAAGTATTCAAAATTCAAGTTACACCTTTGACCTTTTTCTGATTGTGTTTAAATTTGAGCCAAGCAATTAAGACTACTAACTAAAATATTTTTAAAAGATCAATTCTATCAACTACTGGTTAAATGAAAAATGTGTTCAGTACTTGCTATTTTCCTATTGTTGAAAAGCTGGTGTTTTTGTGTTCTTGTTGAAAGAAGTTTTTGCTTTTTACAATTACTTTTATTCCTGGCAGTGTAAAAAGAGAAGGGACTTGTGAAGTAAATAGTCAGTGTAAAAAGAGAAGGGACTTTTGCTAGTCTGAGGTTGAAGCACAGGGTTGGGCTTTTAAATGTATGGCAGATGTAAATAGAATTCTGGCATGCTGGGTCTCTCGTTGAGGACAAATTGGTCTAGGCTTCCAGTTACTGAGCTTTAAATGTCTCCATGTTGTTTCAAACTTTAGTCTTCCTATGGGTAGTTAACTACTTCATGGTTCTATGGGTACAATGAGGATGTGTGATATTAAAAGTGGGGGTTGTTGGTATGATATGTGGGTGGTGGAGGGAGTGCAGATGGAATGTTCGTGTGGAGAGTATAGAAAAGCCATAAGAGAATAATATCTATCTGTGAAAATGCATATGGATGTGCTATATTGTAGGGTGGATATTTTTGGCTCTTTCAGTGATTGTGTGTTGTTGTTTTTTTTACTTCTCACAAATGTACTGCCAATATACTGCTACATGGCTCATATATTTCCCTCACCGTTTGAAATAAAAATAATGTATTTTTAAAGTTATTTTGAGGTTAAGAAATTCTGTTTTATGAATCAGGTAGAAGTGTTTGCTACTTTTATTGTAAAACGAGGTATAAATAGATAGATATGCTATGTGAGAATCTGACTTTCAGTTCAAATACAGGTACCTTTAGATTTAAACTGGGATATTTTAGGACTTAAGTTCTACCATAATAATTACCTTTATTTTAAACATTAAATACATTATTTCTATTATTAAGAATAATATATAAATGTTTGGACAGAAGTAATCTATATTTTTTTTAGACATTCATTGCAGTATGTATAAGAAACAATGTAATATATAAATAGACAAGCATCAGTATATTATTATGGTTAATTTTTAGGCTCATGTCACTATGATTTTATATAACATGAGTAGTTCAAATTTTAATTTAAACCATCTTTTAAACATTGTTCAAATTATTTAATGTGAAATGACTTTGTTCAAATGTAATTAACATTAATAAAGCTTTTAAATTGACTGAAACATTTTATTATTGTCTTTGATATAATGTAGATCTAGAGTCTAGTTGTTTTTGCTTTTACTTTGAACTTGAACAGTGGGTAAAACTAATTGTTTTGTTTTCGTGTCTTAGTAGTTTTTATTTTTTATAGCACAAATTTGACTGACTTTCTGAAAATCAATGTATTTTTATAGACTCTTCAGTACTTAGTCTTAATACTACTTAATAGGGCTGGTAAGTAGGTCACCAACCATCTCTATGGCTCAATAAAACCTACATGAGCCATAGAACTGGTTGGTGACCTACCTACCAGCCCTATTAATATTGAAGATACGCTCACGGGAAAGTAATGTCTCAGTTTTCTTTTTTTTTTTTTCGTGCTAAAGATAAAGATATTAATAAAGTTCTGTAAGTCCGAAATTCTTTTAGTTTTCTGTTTCACAATTACCTCCCCTGGATTGGTGTTAACTCAAGGGCAAGACTGGTAAAGCCGAAATTCCACAATTTTACACATCAGAATCGTGCTAGGTTTCCGGCGAAAAGGAGCAGCTGTTTCATATAAACAGGTAAAAATCTATATTTCCAATAAAATTACTAGCAGTACACTCGGCCGTCTTCAAAAGAAACAGAGTTGCATCCCCTAATGTTTATTTTAATCTAGTTTTATACGATTTTACTTTAAATACTATATGCACACTTTAATATATTTTAGGAACTGTATAACAGAAAAAAACATTTTAACAAAAATGGTTGTAGCAATTACAATGCAATTTCTCAATTATTATTTAGAAAGCACAATATATAATAGCATTCATAGTCATAGTTTCATAAACATATTTATTTAAAAGATAACCGTACTGTCGTTTGAAAGACATGCATCTTAAACAATTTTCATGAATAATTAGAAATATACTCATTGCACATGAATCAACAATAAATTATCTTATGAGTTAAACTGACTTAAAGCGTACATTAAAAAAACAACAATTAAGAGCAATGGAAATACCCCACTTCGATAATAGCAACCGTATTTTACGTATGTCTTTAAAAATGTCTTTAAAGTTGTTATATATCGCAGAGGTAAGACGCACCACGATAAATATTCACGAAATTCAATCAGTTTTTAAAAAATGTGATTTGTATTCACTAAATCACAAGACAAGCTATAAAAATGTATAATTTATTATTGTAATTAAATAAATTAAAATAGCATTAATTGCATTGACGTATCATGGGTGTACATCCCATGTAAATTCACAGAAGCTGGTGTTATTTATTTGTGCCAGCACCTGGGACATACCTAGCGATATTTTTTTAGTTTATAAAGACTTTGTAGTTGGTAGGTTGTACCCGTGTTCGATAATATGTAAATTACATTCGTAAAGATGCTGGTTCGTTTGGGGGGAAAAAACGACACGGAATAGTGAGCTGTTGAACTGGCAAAGCCGAACTCGTATCGTATTACTTAGCTAGATAAAATGTATTAGCATGCTACATATTTTCTTGGACAGATGGCGCATTAATACACTAGGTCGACTGACACAAAATAATCACAATTTGCCCTTGTTATTACCCCATAAAAATGCCACTGTGTCTGTGGTATTCACACAATATACTTCATTGCCTCCTGCATGCCCACAGAGTACTTGCTTTATCTTAGAGAACACATAGTATGCCCTTACTATGCCCATAATATGCCCAGTGTGTGTTTATCTAGAGATGGGTCCATTCTACATTATGTAAAGGTGCAACACAGCCCTCGAGAAAATAACTTTTACGAACATTTTCAAATGGTTCCCAGACACTTCTTAAATCCCTTTGTCAAATTTCTTTTAAATGCAGCATAGTTTCGTACGAGATTTAAAAAAAAAATTGCAGGGCCATATGTCTGGTATAAGTAGTCATTATGTATTGGGTATACAAAGTCTAAACAATTACATTACAGGGCTTTATGTTATTCTGACTGGCATAAGAGGTCATTATGTATTGGGTATACAAAGTCTAAACAATTACATTACAGGGCTTTATGTTATTCTGACTGGCATAAGAGGTCATTCTGTATTGGGAATACAAAGTCTAAACAATTACATTACAGGGCTTTATGTTATTCTAACTGGCATAAGAGGTCATTCTGTATTGGGAATACAAAGTCTTATCCAATCCTTGTCCTCTTCGCCGTATATCGCGTTAAGCTGTTGTTGTTTTTTGACATCCACCTGCTTTTGTCGTTCCACTTCGTCCTCCTTCGCCTCGTCTTTCAACAATTTCTTTTTCATGGACGCGTCATGAATCCATTTACCTATCGTCTCTATTAAGCTCTCCTTCTTTCCTTTATACAAATATTGGTTGAGAATGCAGATTTCTGCGTAGTGTTCAGTCAATATCATGATGTAATAGTTAACGATGATGAAGTTCAAAAACGCGAAGGTGGTACACAGGTATATCTGGCCTATCAACCGGTAGGCTCGAACGATCTTAGGCATAAGGCCCTGGTTTAGGAGGAGGCCTGTGACGTTTAAAAACGCGGCCTTGACCGTAGAGAATTCCGAAAACTCTGTGAATACCAGCGAGGCCAAAACAGAGAAGCAGATTATAACGAACACAGGCAGGTAGGTGATTTTAGCTGTAGGAGGCAGTAGCATCAGGAAGTCGGCTAATGCAGGAATGTTACTGAGGACAGACAATGTGTAATCAGATTATAATAAGTTGTTGAAATATTAAGGGGTCATCCATAAATGACGTCACGCTTTTTTGACAATTTTTACCTCCCCCCCCCCCCCTCCCCTCCTCATCACACATCGTCACAAAATTACGTACCCCCTCCCCCCTACCTTTTCTCATTAACAGTCATTAACATGGTATTCGAGTTAACCACCGATTTGAAATGTTATACATCAATAAAAGATATGAAGCTACGCACATGAAGCTAAACATTAAAAAAAAAACTGCGACGGATGTCAGTTTAAAAAAAAAAAAAAACATAATCAGAAAGAATGTAATATTAAAAAATGGTGACCGGAAAGATACGCATCGGGAAATTGCGCAACAGAAAACTGCACACAAAAAAAGTGCGCAACGGCACTTTTGTCTTCTAAAAAAATTGATAATTTATAGACATTAACAAAGAATGGCTAGATGTACATTGCGCAGCATAAAACATTTCCACAAAATATGACAAAAGTAAAGTGCATTACTATAATTAGTTTGTATTTGCGCATTTTTCTGTAGCGCAATTTTCCGTCGCACAATTTTACGATTGCGCATTTTTCAAATACATCTAACACTACTGGGTGGTTATTATGTGAGAAAGGACGCGGGAAGAACAGACGGAGGAACGAAGAGCTCTTACTTGCTTTGCATGAGCACTTTGATAAACATAAGGATGGCCATGGCGCTACACGTGAGGGTGATCTTGAAGGAAATGTCAGAGAGCTTGTTGAACTCGACAAACACAAAGTTGTCCAGCTGGTTGAAGTAGATGTTCTGTACGTGCTTGATCTGTGGGCACAATCAGGGTACACAGTTAGTGTCAGGGTACAAGTTAGTGTCAGGGTACACAGTTAGTGTTGGGGCTACATAATCAGGGTACACAGTTATGGGGGGGGGTCGGGGGGGGGGGCATTAAATCGACATTAAACAAATTGTATTAATTCAACATTAAAATGACTTGCTTGATCAAACAAATGATCAAATCAACATGAAATGTCTAGTGACATCAAACAAACTATCAAATCAACATGAAATGTCTAGTGATATCAAACAAACTATCAAATCAACATTAAAATGACGATCAAATCAACATGAAATGTCTAGTGATATCAAACAAACTATCAAATCAACGTTAAAATGACGATCAAATCAACATGAAATGTCTAGTGATATCAAACAAACTATCAAATCAACGTTAAAATGACGATCAAATCAACATGAAATGTCTAGTGATATCAAACAAACTATCAAATCAACGTTAAAATGACGATCAAATCAACATGAAATGTCTAGTGATATCAAACCAACGATCAAATTAACATGAAATGTCTAGTGATATCAAACAAACTATCAAATCAACATTAAAATGACGATCAAATCAACATGAAATGTCTAGTGATATCAAACCAACGATCAAATCAACATGAAATGTCTAGTGATATCAAATCAACGATCAAATCCACATGAAATGTTCTGGTCTAGCCCAACGACTGACCATGTCATTCTGCAGGATGTATTGTCTGATGAACAGGTAGATGGCAATGATGGAGATAATCCGCTCTAGGAAGGTGAGACATGCAGTGAAGGAGCTAAAGTATTCCGCACACCCGAAGTGGTAGAGCTGAAACAATGGGGTGGGGGGGGGGGGGGAGTTCATCAGACTGGGTTCAAAGGTCATTCAAGAACAGTTCGATTTACTGGTTAGGTCATTCACGAGTTGTTCGATTTAGTGATTACGTCATTCAAACTTTGTTTGTAGCCGAATTATTTACCAAATAGCTCATCAAAAAGGCCATTCATAAAGAGGCTATTTTTTTTAATTGGCCTATTTAGGAGCTAAATCATACAATGTGTTTACACTTTTCGATCCAGTTTGTCTTTCCATTTTTACTTTCTCGTATATACGAATTATAGAGAAAGTCTTGTAATCGTGCAAAAAAAAAATCGAGATTTTTTACATCTCACTGATACGGAAAAACATAATTTTGCAATCTTGTCCGTATGTCTGTGTGTCTGTCTGTCTGTGTGTAAACACGATAACTTGAGTACCGTTACAGCTAGATTGATGAGATTTCATATATAAGTATTTTATCAAAATCGTAGATCCGTATCAACTTTTGAGCGATTTCCGATAACCGGAAGTGGTACTTTTTCTACTTTGAATTTTTCAAAAGCCTATAACTTGAGTACTATTTAGATAGATAAATGAAATTTCACACGTAAGTAAAAGATCTAATTCTCTACCTTTTATCAAATTTTGAGTAATTTCCGTTGACCGGAAGTACTAATTTACGCTATTTCCGATTTTCTCAAAAAAAAAAAACAAGACTTTCTCTATACTTCGTACATACGAGAAAGTAAAAATGTAAAACGTCAACAGCGAGACTCACCTCCGTGATTTCCGTGGACAAGTAGTAAAGTGTGAGGAACATGAGGGCCACCAGGAAGGCTCTCAGGATGATGGAGGACTGCTTGTCGAAGAAGAGGGGGAAGGTGTAGAAGACGGGCGTGTCCTGGAAGATTCCAACTGGACCAAACAGGTAAGATGTGAGGTGTTGAACGGTGGGGAAATGGTGGGATGGTGTGGTGATTAATTTTGTATGGGTGGGGTGTGGTGTGGATGTTTGTGCGAGAATGGGCTATTGTGTGGTTGTATATGGACTCATAAAATGTTGTATTCGTTGCTTATAGACTTCATGAGATGCTGTATTATTTGCATATGGACTCTATGAGATCTTGTATGAGTTGGTTGTTGGTGACAGCCTAGAGTATGTTGTTGTATTGGATGTCACGGCCAGTTAAGTGTTATTGAGGCAGCTAAGTGTTAGCTATGGTGCGTGTTGGCTGGCCATTGATGTGTACAGATGTGTACTGGCTATTGATGTGTACAGATGTGTACTGACTATTGATGTGTGCTGGCCATTGATGTGTACTGGCCATTGATGTGTACTGGCCATTAATGTGAACTGATGTGTACTGGCCATTAATGTGTTGACTGGCCATTGTAAATCTGGCTTGTTTAGCCATAACGGAACCAAGGTCAAGTTCAAGTGCCGGAACTATTTCTATTTGTGCTTACACAGAATGTAAAGAGAGCGCCTCGCAATGGCTGTGATTCTAACACATCTGTTTTTACTGTATCGTTTAGTGTTCGTGTTTCCTAAACCTATTAAAGCACATCTCCTATTTTACTCTAATAAGCTCCTGTTTCCTACACCTATTAAAACTAAACCTATTTGAACTGATATTGTACTGAACTAAGCCCCTGTCCTTACACCAATTTGAACTGAGCCCCTGTCCTTACACCTATTTGAACTAATATTGTACTGAACTAAACCCCTGTCCTTACACCTATTTGAACTAATATTGTACTGAACTAAACCCCTGTCCTTACACCAATTTGAACTGAGCCCCTGATCCTAAACCTATTTGAACTGATATTGTACTGAACTAAGCCCCTGTCCTTACACCTATTTGAACTGATATTGTACTGAACTAAGCCCCTGTCCTTACACCTATTTGAACTAATATTGTACTGTACTAAACCCCTGTCCTTACACCAATTTGAACTGATATTGTACTGTACTAAGCCCCTGATCCTATCCTTATTTGAACTGATATTGTACTGAACTAAGCCCCTGTCCTTACACCTATTTGAACTGATATTGTACTGAACTAAGCCCCTGTCCTTACACCTATTTGAACTGAGCCCCTGATCCTAAACCTATTTGAACTGATATTGTACTGAACTAAGCCCCTGTCCTTACACCTATTTGAACTGATATTGTACTGAACTAAGCCCCTGTCCTTACACCTATTTGAACTGAGCCCCTGATCCTAAACCTATTTGAACTGATATTGTACTGAACTAAGCCCCTGTCCTTACACCTATTTGAACTGATATTGTACTGAACTAAACCCCTGTCCTTACACCTATTTGAACTGATATTGTACTGTACTAAGCTCCTGTCCTTACACCTATTTGAACTGATATTGTACTGTACTAAACCCCTGTCCTTACACCAATTTGAACTGATATTGTACTGTACTAAGCCCCTGATCCTATCCTTATTTGAACTGATATTGTACTGAACTAAGCCCCTGTCCTTACACCTATTTGAACTGATATTGTACTGAACTAAGCCCCTGTCCTTACACCAATTTGAACTGAGCCCCTGATCCTAAACCTATTTGAACTGATATTGTACTGAACTAAGCCCCTGTCCTTACACCTATTTGAACTGATATTGTACTGAACTAAGCCCCTGTCCTTACACCTATTTGAACTGATATTGTACTGAACTAAACCCCTGTCCTTACACCTATTTGAACTGATATTGTACTGAACTAAGCCCCTTTCCTTACACCAATTTGAACTGAGCCCCTGATCCTAAACCTATTTGAACTGATATTGTACTGAACTAAGCCCCTGTCCTTACACCTATTTGAACTGATATTGTACTGAACTAAACCCCTGTCCTTACACCTATTTGAACTGATATTGTACTGTACTAAAGACCTGATCCTAAACCTATTTGAACTGATATTGTACTGTACTAAAGACCTGATCCTAAACCTATTTGAACTGATATTGTACTGTACTAAGCCCCTGATCCTATCATTATTTGAACTAATATTGTACTGTACTAAGCCCCTGATCCTAAACCTATTTGAACTGATATTGTACTGTACTAAACCCCTGTCCTTACACCTATTTGAACTGATATTGTACTGTACTAAGCCCCTGATCCTATCCTTATTTGAACTGATATTGTACTGTACTAAACCCCTGTCCTTACACCAATTTGAACTGATATTGTACTGTACTAAGCCCCTGATCCTATCATTATTTGAACTAATATTGTACTGTACTAAGCCCCTGATCCTAAGCCTATTTGAACTGATATTGTACTGTACTAAGCTCCTGTCCTTACACCTATTTGAACTGATATTGTACTGTACTAAGCCCCTGATCCTATCCTTATTTGAACTGATATTGTACTGTACTAAAGACCTGATCCTACACCAATTTGAACTGATATTGTACTGTACTCAGAGACGTAGCGATGGGGGGGGGGGGGGGAGGCAGGGACATATGTCCCCGGGCGCCAACCTTAGAGGGCGCCAAAATGGGTTGTAAAAAACAAATTAAAATGTCAATTTAGCTGCATTTTTGCAGTTTGAGGGGGTGGGGGTTCAAATCGAAAAGTTGAAATATGGGGGGGAGGGGGGCAAATTGAAAATTTGCTCCCGAGGGGGGCGCCAAATTGAAAGTATGTCCCCGGGCGCCGGGAAGGGTCGCTACGCCTCTGACTGTACTAAGCCTCTGATCTTGCACCCATTTGACCTCATCAACGGTGCACGTGTTACTCACCTTCAGTGAACTCGTACACGTGCAGGACAGAGGTCAGCTGATTGGTGTCGGCGTTAAAGATGGCGAACTCCACCGCCACCGCCCTCGTGTGCTCGTCCACCCACTCGTGGTCCCGCAGAAAGTCGATCATCTCCGGTCGCTTGTCGCGTACGGAGAACAGGGAATTGTAGCTGGGGGGAAAATATCCCAGGGTAAAATATCTCGGGACAAAATATCCCACGACAAAATATCCCAGGATATTTAATATCCCAGGACAAAATATATCAAGACTAAATATTTCAAGACAAAATATATCAGGACTAAATATTTCAAGACAAAATATATCATGTCAAGATATATATTAACAAATTATCTGAGGACAAAATATCCCAGGACATAATGGACAAGATATATCATGAAGAAGTATATTAGAACAAAAGAACAAAAATAACAGTCCGGTCAAGATTTCTCATGACCAGTGGTCATCCCTATTTTCTCCGTTCGCTTTACCAACTCCCTCCTCCACCCCCCCCCCCCCACCCCAAATTCAAATATGTCCTTACCCTCCGCCCGGGTATGTGTGCCTCACAGTTTCGAACCCCTCTGAATCGCTGTATGTGTATGGTCCAGGGCTGACCTTTCTAGAGGTCACGTGGTCCCATGCCAGAGCGTAGTTGCGTGTATCTGTCAGATAAATAATTGGGTTAGAGGCTAGTGTATCTGTCAGATAAATATGTCAGTTATAGACCAGTGTATCTGTCAGATAAATATGTCAGTTAGAGGCTAGTGTATCTGTCAGATAAATATGTAGGTTAGAGGCTAGTGTATCTGTCAGATAAATATGTCAGTTAGAGGCTAGTGTATCTGTCAGATAAATATGTCAGTTAGAGGCTAGTGTATCTGTCAGATAAATATGTCAGTTAGAGGCTATTGTATGTGTGAGATTATAATTACTTGGGTTAGAGGTTAGTGTATCGAGCGCTTTTTAAAAAAAATTTTTTAAATGCGCATCAAATCAGTAAAAAATTTAAATTAGAAACAGTGTTTACCTCTCACAAGAAACAAAGAAATACGAAGCCTTACAAACACAATAAAATATGGAACCCATTAAATACAGAGAAATACAAAGTCAGACTTAGAGAAATACACAGTCACTTAAGTCAGACACAGAGAAATACAAAGTCAGATATAGAGAAATACAAAATCAGACACAGAGAAATACACAGTCACTTAAGTCAGACACAGAGAAATACAAAGTCAGATATAGAGAAATACAAAATCAGACACAGAGAAATACAAAGTCACTTAAGTCAGACACAGAGAAATACAAAATTAGACACAGAGAAATACAAAGTCAAAGAAATACAAAGTCAGACACAGAGAAATACAAAATCAGACACAGAGAAATACAAAGTCACTTAAGTCAGACACAGAGAAATACAAAGTCAGACACGGAGAAATACAAAGTCAGACGGAGAATTACAAAGTTAAAGACAGAGAGATACAAAGTCAGACCACACAAGAAGGTGTCTAGAATGTGTCTACAATGTGTCTACAATGTGTCTACAATGTGTCTACAATGTGTCTAAAATGTGTCTACAATGTGTCTAGAACTACCAACCAACTACGGAGTCCTCAATTCTAAAGTGACAACGGGCGAAAGGTTTCATAGGAAAGTCCTTGGCGCAATCACCTGTAGAATTACAATACATCAGTCATCTGACATTATATATATAAAATGTCAGTCAGTCATCTGACAACACACATCAAACGTTAGTCAGTCAGCTGACATCATACAGTAAGTCAGTCATCTTACTTCATACAACAAATCAGTCAGTCATTTGATATCCTACATCAAACGTCAGTCATCTAACTTCAAACAGCAAAAGTCATCTAACATCATACAGCAAGTCAGTAAAAGTTTATACACACTTAAATCCACCGCTTACAAACATCACCTTACATTTACCCACATCAAACCCCCACACCAAGATTAAACCACCAAACTTACCCACATCAAACCCCCACACCAAGATTAAACCCCCACACTTACCCACATCAAACCCCCACACCAAGATTAAACTCCCACACTTACCCACATCAAACCCCCAAACTTACCCACATCAAACCCCCACACCAAGATTAAACCCCCACACTTACCCACATCAAACCCCCACACTTACCCACATCAAACCCCCACACTAAGATTAAACCCCCACACTTACCCACATCAAACCCCCACACTTACCCACACCAAACCCCCACACTTACCCACACCAAACCCCCACACTTACCCACATCAAACCCCCACACTTACCCACATCAAACCCCCACACTTACCCACATCAAACCCCCACACTTACCCACATCAAACCCCCACACTTACCCACACCAAACCCCCACACTTACCCACATCATACCCCCAGACATACCCACATTAAACCCCCACACTTACCCACACCAAACCCCCACACTTACCCACATCAAACCCCCACACTTACCCACATCAAACCCCCACACTTACCCACATCAAACCCCCACACTTACCCACATCAAACCCCCACACTTACCCACACCAAACCCCCACACTTACCCACATCATACCCCCAGACATACCCACATTAAACCCCCACACTTACCCACACCAAACCCCCACACTTACCCACATCAAACCCCCACACTTACCCACATCAAACCCCCACACTTACCCACATCAAACCCCCACACTTACCCACACCAAACCCCCACACCAAGATTAAACCCCCACACTTACCCACATCAAACCCCCACACCATCACAACCCACCTGTCTAAAACTTACCTGCATACGGCTGAACTCGCACCTGGCGAAGACGAATGTTCGAGACCGCGTTTAAACTGGCCGTCGTGTTGGTATTGACCAGCGACCAGTAGGTGGTCAGGTGCATGTTTTGGCGAAGATGTTTCCAGAACTCTTCCATTGTGATGCCCTGCGACCGATACCAAGTTTCTATATATAAATATGTGTGTGGCATGCGTGTGTGTGCGTGTGTCGTGTTGGTATTGATTGAATTTAAATGGTTTTTTTTTTTTTTTTTTTTTTGATGTGACGAGTTCTTATAACTTTTGTGTTTCTTTCGTTTTTTTGTTGTTGGCTTCTTGTTATAAAAGGTAGACGCCCCAAAATCTTCATTTAACCGGGAAAGTAAAGATGCAACATATGACGTAATGGAAGTCTACCGCGTGCATGTACGGTGTTTAGACGCACGTACACACACATACGAACACACACACATACGAACACACACATACGAACACACACACACACACACACACACACACACATACAAACACACATAGAGATACACGCATCACTACAATGAAATATGACCTGTTTTAGATCGTAAAATCCCATCCTGGCCACAGGCGCACAAAAACGCACACATACATACAGACACCTACACACATACACACACATGAGCTGACCTGTTTTAAATCAAACTCCGCCCGCCCCACGTGCAGAAGCTTCCGGAAAAATCCCGTTTGCCGGTACCGCTGCGAGACGTTGCCGCTCTGTATGTTGATGACGACCATGATGATGACGATGGTGATGAGAAACAAGAAGTACTTGGAGCCTTGCTTGGCCGCCACCTTCACGGCCAGCAAGTTCTCTTTGTTATTCTACAGGCACAACATTAACACGTTAGTTGGGGTTCGGCGGGAGGGTTCAAGGGAGGGTTCAAGGGAGGGTTCAAGGGGAGCGTTCGTTGAGTCTCCGGTCATAAGCCCCCTGGACATAAGCCCCAGGACATAAGCCCCTGGACATAAGCCCCTAGACATAAGCCCCTAGACATAAGCCCCTGGACATAAGCTTATGGACATAAGCCCATGGACATAAACCCCCTGGACATAAACCCCATGGACATAAACCCCATGGACATAAACCCCATGGACATAAACCCCCCTGGACATAAACCCCATGGACATAAACCCCATGGACACAACCCCCCTGGACAAAACCCCATGGACATAAACCCCATGGACATAAACCCCCTGGACAAAACCCCATGGACATAAACCCCCCTGGACATAAACCCCATGGACATAAACCCCATGGACACAACCCCCCTGGACAAAACCCCATGGACATAAACCCCCTGGACATAAACCCCCCTGGACATAAACCCCATGGACATAAACCCCATGGACATAAACCCCATGGACATAAACCCCCTGGACAAAACCCCATGGACATAAACCCCCTGGACATAAACCCCCCTGGACATAAACCCCATGGACATAAACCCCATGGACATAAACCCCCTGGACAAAACCCCATGGACATAAACCCCATGGACATAAACCCCCCTGGACATAAACCCCATGGACATAAACCCCATGGACATAAACCCCCTGGACATAAACCCCTGGACATAAACCCCATGGATATAAACCCCATGGACATAAACCCCCTGGACATAAACCCCTGGACATAAACCCCCCTGGACATAAACCCCATGGACATTAACCCCCTGGACATAAGCCCTTGGACATAAATCCCCTGGAAAACCCTCCCCCACCCCGCGACATTCAACATTAGTAGCCAATAAAGGAATCATTCACCGAATGGGTTCAATTTGGTCATTGACGAGATTTAGCAGTGTTTAGTCACGTATATGTATCTGTCATTTTGGGTGGAGAGGGGGGGGGGATGGTTAGGGGGAAGCGTCAATACTACTTTAAAAAGATAAGGAATTGGTAACCACCAACAAGACTTCTGCACACTGAAATTGTTTAACCTGTGAGCTATTCGTACAACGAATCTATACGTTCGTACGTCGAGGTCTCACCTTAAGGTTGAAGGAGACGTGACGTAACCATATTATTTCCCTCCTCTCCGTGGAGAGCTCCACCCTACACACAGACTTCCTGATGCGGGTCATCCCCAGGGCACACATCTTGAAGCAGACGACCAACTCTTCCAAACACCCTGTCACACAAAATGGCAGCCATCTTATTCCACTTCGATGACGTCACTACATTTTATTTTACGAACTATGACGTCAATTTAGTCGTTTTTTTATGAAATAGTTTGACACTTTAAAACAGCTTTTGGAATGCTAATGGGCACAACACAAAGTGGATAGTAAACAACAAATTCGTTTGGTAGCACATCACCTCTACCCCAATTAGAACATCCCTACCCCAGTTGAACCTATTCTTGCACCAGTTTACAACAACATGAACCTACTCGTCCACCAGTTTACAACACCATGAACCTATTCTTGCACCAGTTTACAACAACATTAACCTACTCCTCCACCAGTTTACAACAACATGAACCTACTCTTCCACCAGTTTACAACACCATGAACCTACTCCTCCACCAGTTTACAACTACATGAACCTACTCCTCCACCAGTTTACAACTACATGAACCTACTCCACCAGTTTACAACTACATGAACCTACTCTTCCACCAGTTTACAACTACATGAACCTACTCTTCCACCAGTTTACAACACCATGAACCTACTCTTCCACCTATAATCTCCCTCTGTTCGACACAAAGTTTTCTCGTCCTCGGTCAGGATGACGATGATGAAGATGAAGATGGGGTGTGCGATCAGGTTAGTGGCAGCAAAGGTGAGCAGCACCGTGATGAGGTAAGCATCCTCGTTCTGGATGACCAGCCCGACGTAGCCGATGCTGAAGGTCATGCCGACAGCCAACAGGAACATGGTGATCTTAAGCGCCACGTACAGGACTGTCGCACCTTTTTGCATCCAGGAGCTGGTGGAGTTAACGTTAGAGTGTCAAAGGAAACTGGGGTTTAAAGTAAAGTTCCCAACATGAGGGTCTATGGGGCAAAGTAGAGTTCAAATGTTTCTGTGACCTCGTCATATGAAAAGACAGTGTGGTCAGCACAATGCCCAGTAGTCAATAATTGTTTCCCTAACGTGACGTAAGTGTGCATCAGAGCTGGGTGGAATCGGGGAAGGTCCACTGACTGATAATATTCCGCACTATTATACACATATTATTTAGCGTTCACTTGGTGCGCAATTCTTTTCTTCTACGAGATTCTATTCTATTTTTCCCACGTTTTCTTTAACTTGCTTTCGTGTCTGTTTGTTTGTTTTTCCAATCAAATCTTGCGATCGAAATTTCGGGCACTTTCAAGTTAGCTAGCGCGCTGAAATTTTCAGGGAAGCTTTGTTTCCGATGACAATACAATATTCAATTATTATTATTACTAAATTGATCCATGGAAAAATGTTATTGATCATTTTAGACTCCTATTGATTTGTACCAAAAAAAAGGACATAACCCAGTAATTGTAATTTGATGAAAACAAGGTTCGGTACTTTTCCTCTTCAGGCTTACAGAAGGAGCGAGCACGCGATTGGCTGAGTAGTGGTCACGCGGTGTTTGTGTACAAACCTATGCAAATCTGACTGATCAGGAAGTAGAATGTTGATGGTCGAATGGTTTGCACGCGAGGGCAAAATGGTGAAAGAAATGGCAACACAGAAGAAACGTCGATCGGAAAAGGCACGTGTTTTTTACTAGTTGTCTTCGTTTACCCAAAAAAAAGTGAATGCGAGAAGATAAAATCGATAGCAAGATTTGAATGCAAACAAACAGACAAAGACTAAAAAGTAGAAAATAATTATCATTAAAAAAGTTTTTAAAAACCCACGTTTTCTGATTGAACTAAAAAGTAGAAAATAAATGCTATACATCACAATAATGCAAGTGATCACTCTACTATAAGCGATCGCAAACTGCGTGCGCATTATGACAAAAAATGAAAAACGTGGGGCGCCGTGATTTTCTTACAGTTTTTAATACTGTTGACTCTCTACAAGCTCCCTAATAAAACTCAATAGTATTATCTAATCAATAGTAATATAACTTTTACATCTTATATTAACAATGACCGATAAAAAACGTTTACTTCGGCGCCCCACGTTTTTCATTTTTTGTCATGATGCGCACGCAGTTTGCGATCGCTTATAGTAGAGTGATCGCTTGCATTATTGTGATGTATAGCATTTATTTTCTACTTTTTAGTTCAATCAGAAAACGTGGGTTTTTAAAAACTTTTTTAATGATAATTTTTAAAAAGTACAAGTAATTAAAAATCAAGTCTATATTCAGAGTTGCCATCCCCCGTAGCGATATATAAGAATATTCGAGAAAGATTAGGGGAGATCACTCCCGGTTTATTTGGTGAAGGTTTTAAGTAATTAACTGTTTAATGATTGCACATTTTTGATATGCTTTTGAAATTGGTTAATGTGAGCCTTTGTTTAGGTAAGCCATGGTTAAGGTTAGTAATGACCACACATGGTTGCTGACCCTAAAGTTCCGAGTTCGAACGCTCGGCCAGACGAGGCTCGACAGCTGGGGACAGCAACCCATCTAGCAGAAAGAACTCCGAAATCAAACTAGATTGGAGCCACTTAGGCGATTTGATTACCAACTTCGGTTTTCTTTCGCAGCTCCTGATTCCAAGCTGTACAGGTACGTCCTGTCCCTTTAATATCGGTTGTGTGGAGAGAGGGGGCTCTGATACATGGGCAACATCTGGCTCTTCGCAACTTAGGGTCCACGCTTTGTGCATGGATTTCCAAAGTACAATCATTCAATCGTCTATTAGACTATACACCCAATCAGTTAAGGCCAGCTAGGGTTAAGGAAAGCCATGAACGTACCTGTGAGATCTGTATGTCGAGCCTTGTTCTGTAACACGCTGTTCATCTATCTCCAGAAATTGTCGCATCTGCCGAGCAGGCGTCATCTTTTGCCGCGGCATGTTTTGTGGCCTATTGAAATCATCTTTTTGCGACAAGAAAAATTGCTCTCGGCGCACGACAGCAGCGTAGGGGGTCTCTAAATGAATAACCTTCCTCCCTTCCATGTTTCTAGAGGATTGTACCCGCGATGCGACATAGTCGGACAGATCCTCGTCGTCGTAGGACTCCATGTACAAGTTCTGGTTCGTATCCTGGCTAGGTTCGTCTCCCTCGTTTTTTACTGGGTCCTCAGGCTGGTTACCCTGCGTCTCGGTCTCTCTAGGACTTTCGGTTGGCGGGTCGTACGTTGAGGGTGTCTTTGTTGCCGTCCGGTTGTCGTCGTCCATCTTGTCGGAGCTGAGCATGCGCCAAAACTGCTCCCAAACCAGGATGGGTTTTTTTTTTCGTCGGAAACGGTGGAGTCTGGGGTAGATTAAAAATATGTGAGAAAAACAAACAGACGAGGTAAAGAGGCGGAGGAGACTAAGCTAACCCGAGCTCGATTTACAAGCTTGAGTTATCTGAGTCAACTCAGCTCTAATCGGTACCTAAAAGTTAGGTTAAATGAATGTAAATGACATTCGCCATGTAATCAATGAGACCTGAATATATACTTGGGTAAATTAAAATATCCACACAATGTTCTTGGCCGTTTTTTCAATGCTGCCCCCCCCCCCCCCCAGTTCGTCAACGTCAAATTGTACTAATTAGGATAACTTCTAAAAGTTGATTATCTATAAGAGATTTTATATATATATATATATATATATATATATATATATATATATATATATATATATATATATATATATATATATATATATATATATATATATATATAATGTATTTGGTTACTTTAATAATGTCCTAAAATAAATTTGGATGTATGTGTGTTTACATATGTTTGTATGTATGCAAGTATTAGTTTGGGTGTAAGTATATGAACGTGTGTTCACGTGTGTGCGTGTGTGCTTACCCATCCATAAATATACAAGTTCTAGATGTCCACACGCGCTGGAGTACTTACACCTTCCACACGCGCTGGAGTACTTACACCTTCCACACGCGCTGGAGTACTTACACCTTCCACACGCGCTGGAGTACTTACACCTTCCACACGCGCTGGAGTACTTACACCTTCCACACGCGCTGGAGTACTTACACCGAGAGAATAAGTGTGAGCACGAAGGACGGGACGGAAGTTATTAGGAAAGAGGTTGTGACAATGGGGAGTATGTTCTCTTGGCTGCTTTCCTTCAGCCTGTCCTGATGGTCCCCTTCTAGCTCCGCCTGGAAGGAGCCGGCTGTCCACAGACAGACGGTCATCGTGAACAGGATTATCACCAGAGTAAGGAAACCGTGGTCTTTCTGTGGAGATTTGGTACATATGGTCAGTGGGGTGGGACATATGGTCATTGGGGTGGAGATTTGGTACATATGGTCAGTGGGGTGGGACATATGGTCATTGGGGTGGAGATTTGGTACATATGGTCAGTAGGGTGGTGATTTGGTACATATGGTCAGTAGGGTGGAGATTTGGTACATATGGTCATTGGGGTGGAGATTTGGTGCATATGGTCATTGGGGTGGAGATTTGGTATATATGGTCAGTGGGGTGGGACATATGGTCAGTGGGGTGGGACATATGGTCAGTGGGGTGGGACATATGGTAATTGGGGTGGGACGTATGGTCATTGGGGTGGAGATTTGGTACATATGGTCAGTGGGGTGGGACATATGGTCAGTGGGGTGGGACATATGGTCAGTAGGGTGGTGAGTTGGTACATATGGTCAGTAGGGTGGTGAGTTGGTACATATGGTCAGTGGGGTGGGACATATGGTCAGTAGGGTGGTGATTTGGTACATATGGTCAGTAGGGTGGGACATATGGTCAGTAGGGTGGTGATTTGGTACATATGGTCAGTGGGGTGGTGATTTGGTACATATGGTCAGTAGGGTGGTGATTTGGTACATATGGTCAGTGGGGTGGAGATTTGGTACATATGGTCAGTAGGGTGGAGATTTGGTACATATGGTCAGTAGGGTGGGACATATGGTCAGTGGGGTGGGACATATGGTCAGTGGAGTGGTGATTTGGTACATATGGTCAGTAGGGTGGAGATTTGGTACATATGGTCATTGGGGTGGAGATTTGGTACATATGGTCAGTGGGGTGGGACATATGGTCATTGGGGTGGAGATTTGGTACATATGGTCAGTAGGGTGGAGATTTGGTACATATGGTCATTGGGGTGGAGATTTGGTACATATGGTCAGTAGGGTGGGACATATGGTCAGTGGGGTGGGACATATGGTCAGTGGAGTGGTGATTTGGTACATATGGTCAGTAGGGTGGAGATTTGGGTACATATGGTCATTGGGGTGGAGATTTGGTACATATGGTCAGTAGGGTGGGACATATGGTCAGTGGGGTGGGACATATGGTCAGTGGAGTGGTGATTTGGTACATATGGTCAGTAGGGTGGAGATTTGGTACATATGGTCAGTAGGGTGGTGATTTGGTACATATGGTCAGTAGGGTGGTGATTTGGTACATATGGTCAGTAGGGTGGTGATTTGGTACATATGGTCAGTAGGGTGGTGATTTGGTACATATGGTCAGTAGGGTGGAGATTTGGTACATATGGTCAGTGGGGTGGAGATTTGGTACATATGGTCAGTAGGGTGGTGATTTGGTACATATGGTCAGTAGGGTGGTGATTTGGTACATATGGTCAGTAGGGTGGAGATTTGGTACATATGGTCAGTGGGGTGGGACATATGGTCAGTGGGGTGGGACATATGGTCAGTGGGGTGGGACATATGGTCAGTAGGGTGGAGATTTGGTACATATGGTCAGTGGGGTGGGACATATGGTCAGTGGGGTGGGACATATGGTCAGTAGGGTGGAGATTTGGTACATATGGTCAGTAGGGTGGAGATTTGGTACATATGGTCAGTGGGGTGGGACATATGGTCAGTGGAGTGGTGATTTGGTACATATGGTCAGTAGGGTGGTGATTTGGTACATATGGTCAGTGGGGTGGGACATATGGTCAGTAGGGTGGTGATTTGGTACATATGGTCAGTAGGGTGGAGATTTGGTACATATGGTCAGTGGGGTGGGACATATGGTCAGTGGAGTGGTGATTTGGTACATATGGTCAGTAGGGTGGTGATTTGGTACATATGGTCAGTGGGGTGGGACATATGGTCAGTAGGGTGGAGATTTGGTACATATGGTCAGTAGGGTGGTGATTTGGTACATATGGTCAGTAGGGTGGAGATTTGGTACATATGGTCAGTAGGGTGGAGATTTGGTACATATGGTCAGTAGGGTGGTGATTTGGTACATATGGTCAGTAGGGTGGAGATTTGGTACATATGGTCAGTGGGGTGGGACATATGGTCAGTGGAGTGGTGATTTGGTACATATGGTCAGTAGGGTGGAGATTTGGTACATATGGTCAGTGGGGTGGTGATTTGGTACATATGGTCAGTGGGGTGGGACATATGGTCAGTAGGGTAGTGATTTGGTACATATGGTCAGTAGGGTGGTGATTTGGTACATATGGTCAGTAGGGTGGAGATTTGGTACATATGGTCAGTAGGGTGGTGATTTGGTACATATGGTCAGTAGGGTGGTGATTTGGTACATATGGTCATTGGGGTGGAGATTTGGTACATATGGTCAGTAGGGTGGTGATTTGGTACATATGGTCAGTAGGGTGGAGATTTGGTACATATGGTCAGTGGGGTGGAGATTTGGTACATATGGTCAGTAGGGTGGGACATATGGTCAGTAGGGTGGTGATTTGGTACATATGGTCAGTAGGGTGGAGATTTGGTACATATGGTCAGTAGGGTGGAGATTTGGTACATATGGTCAGTAGGGTGGGACATATGGTCAGTGGGGTGGGACATATGGTCAGTGGGGTGGAGATTTGGTACATATGGTCAGTAGGGTGGTGATTTGGTACATATGGTCAGTAGGGTGGTGATTTGGTACATATGGTCAGTGGGGTGGTGATTTGGTACATATGGTCAGTAGGGTGGTGATTTGGTACATATGGTCAGTGGGGTGGAGATTTGGTACATATGGTCAGTGGGGTGGTGATTTGGTACATATGGTCAGTGGGGTGGTGATTTGGTACATATGGTCAGTGGGGTGGTGATTTGGTACATATGGTCAGTAGGGTGGTGATTTGGTACATATGGTCAGTGGGGTGGTGATTTGGTACATATGGTCAGTGGGGTGGTGATTAGGTACATATGGTCAGTGGGGTGGTGATTTGGTACATATGGTCAGTAGGGTGGTGATTTGGTACATATGGTCAGTGGGGTGGTGATTTGGTACATATGGTCAGTGGGGTGGTGATTTGGTACATATGGTCAGTGGGGTGGTGATTTGGTACATATGATCAGTGGGGTGGAGTTTTGGTACATATGGTCAGTGGGGTGGAGATTTGGTACATATGGTCAGTTGACCCGTATGTTCTTACTTTGTTGAAGTTGCTGGAAGGCAAGGACAAGAAACAGCCAATGATCATGTGAAGCTCGCGGAAACTGCGAATTAAGTGGTACAGCATGGTGCGGGTTCGAGGCCCTGTTGGATGAAAAAAAAAAGAATTTTTTAAAGTGGTACTTGTTCGAGTTTTTTTTTTTTTAAAAACTTTTATATTTAATCTGTTTAATTAAATAGTAAAATAAATTGGGAGACTGTAATCTAATGACTTGGTTTTATTTTTGTTTTAGTATAATGTCAGTTGCTGTAGGTAATATCTTATATTTTAGTATAATCTCAGCTACAGTTTTAGTATAATGTCACCGTATGTTGTAGTACAATGTCAGCTTTTGGTCAGCTTTTGTTTTAGTATAATGTCAGCTTTTGTTTTAGTATAATGTCAGCTTTTATTTTAGCATAATGCCGGCTCATGGATTAGTATAATGTCTGTTGTTTTAGTATAATGACAATGTTGGCGCTTGGCCACACTTTTTCGTGCCAGTACTGTCGTCACCAATCTCGTGACTAATCTCGTGACTAATCTCGTGACTAATCTCGTGACTAATCTCGTGACTAATCTCGTCACTAATCTCGTCACTAATCTCGTCACTAATCTCGTGACTAATCTCGTGACTAATCTCGTCACTAATCTCGTCACTAATCTCGTCACTAATCTCGTGACTAATCTCGTCACTAATCTCGTCACTAATCTCGTCACTAATCTCGTCACTAATCTCGTCACTAATCTCGTCACTAATCTCGTCACTAATCTCGTCACTAATATCGTCACTAATCTCGTCACTAATCTCGTCACTAATCTCGTCACTAATCTCGTCACTAATCTCGTCACTAATCTCGTCACTAATCTCGTCACTAATCTCGTCACTAATCTCGTCACTAATCTCGTCACTAATCTCGTCACTAATCTCGTCACTAATCTCGTCACTAATCTCGTCACTAATCTCGTCACTAATCTCGTCACTAATCTCGTCACTAATCTCGTCACTAATCTCGTCACTAATCTCGTCACTAATCTCGTCACTAATCTCGTCACTAATCTCGTCACTAATCTCGTCACTAATCTCGTCACTAATCTCGTCACTAATCTCGTCACTAATCTCGTCACTAATCTCGTCACTAATCTCATCACTAATCTCATCACTAATCTCATCACTAATCTCTTGACCCAACCCTCGAGGCGCCATGGTCTACCTGTGGTGGGTACCACTGACTTGACGATGTAGCACACCTTGGTTTTGGGGTTGGGGACCCAGCTGTCACAGATACAGTAGCGATCAACGGCGCTGTCCTTCATGTTTCTGATGTAAACATGCGACACGTACCTGCCACAAACAGCGGGAGAAAAACGAATCAAATTTTCAAGAAATCGGACAAAACATGTGTACAGCTGTCTGGTCGAGCGGTTAGCTTAGCTGTCTCGAGTTCGGCTACACTCCCGACCTGCGTTTAATGTGTTTAAGGTTTAATGTGTACGACGTTTGGTTTGTACATCTAGGTTTAATGTGTACGAAGTTTGGTTTGTACATCAAGGTTTAATGTGTACGACGTTTGGTTTGTACATCTAGGTTTAATGTGTTGTTTTGTACATCTAGGTTTAAAGTGTACGACGTTTGGTTTGTACATCAAGGTTTAATGTGTACGACGTTTAGTTTGTACATCTAGGTTTAATGTGTTGTTTTGTACATCAGGTTTAATGTGTTGTTTTGTACATCTAGGTTTAAAGTGTACGACGTTTGGTTTGTACATCTAGGTTTAATGTGTTGTTTTGTACATCTAGGTTTAATGTGTTGTTTTGTACATCTAGGTTTAAAGTGTACGACGTTTGGTTTGTACATCTAGGTTTAATGTGTTGTTTTGTACATCTAGGTTTAATGTGTACGAAGTTTGTTTTGTACATCTAGGTTTAATGTGTACAGCGTTTGTTTTGTACATCAAGGTTTAATGTGCACGACGTTTGGTTTGTACATCTAGGTTTAATGTGTTGTTTTGTACATCTAGGTTTAATGTGTTGTTTTGTACATCTAGGTTTAATGTGTACGAAGTTTGGTTTGTACATCTAGGTTTAATGTGTACGGCGTTTGTTTTGTACATCTAGGTTTAATGTGAACGGCGTTTGTTTTGTACACCTAGGTTTAATGTGTACGACGTTTGTTTTGTACATCTAGGTTTAATGTGTACGGCGTTTGTTTTGTACATCTAGGTTTAATGTGAACGGCTTTTGTTTTGTACACCTAGGTTTAATGTGTACGGCGTTTGTTTTGTACATCTAGGTTTAATGTCTACGAAGTTTGTTTTGTACATCTAGGCTTAATGTATTGTTTTGTACATCTAGGCTTAATGTATTGTTTTGTACATCTAGGTTTAATGTATTGTTTTGTACATCTAGGTTTAATGTGTACGAAGTTTGGTTTGTACATCTAGGTTTAATGTGTACGACGTTTGTTTTGTACATCTAGGTTTAATGTGTACGGCGTTTGTACATCTAGGTTTAATGTGTACGGCGTTTGTTTTTGTTTTGTACATCTAGGTTTAATGTGTACGACGTTTGTTTTTGCCCCCCCCCCCCGAAGAGATGCCTGGAAGAAACTCTGGTGCGGACCGCACCGGATGATACCATTTGGGGGGGAGGGGGTGACACAATGGCGAAACATTAAATATATAGAAGAACAATTATTTTTACTTGTTAAATTAATGATTAATTAGAGATAAAGGGTCTAAACTACGGCGTTTGTTTTGTACATCTAGGTTTAATGTATTGTTTTGTACATCTAGGTTTAATGTGTACGAAGTTTGGTTTGTACATCTAGGTTTAATGTGTACGGCGTTTGTTTTTGTTTTGTACATCTAGGTTTAATGTGTACGACGTTTGTTTTTGCTTTGTACATCTAGGTTTAATGTGTACGGCGTTTGTTTTGTACATTTAGGTTTAATGTGTACGACATTTGTTTTGTACATCTAGGTTTAATGTGTGCGGCGTTTGTTTTGTACATTTAGGTTTAATGTGTACGACGTTTGTTTTGTACATCTAGGTTTAATGTGTACGGCGTTTGTTTTGTACATTTAGGTTTAATGTGTACGGCGTTTGTTTTGTACATCTAGGTTTAATGTGTACGGCGTTTGGTTTGTACATCTATGTTTAATGTGTACGGCGTTTGTACATCTAGGTTAAATGTGTACGACGTTTGTTTTTGTTTTGTACATCTAGGTTTAATGTGTACGACGTTTGTTTTGTACATCTAGGTTTAATGTGTACGGCGTTTGTTTTGTACATCTAGGTTTAATGTGTACGGCGTTTGTTTTGTACATTTAGGTTTAATGTGTACGGCGTTTGTTTTGTACATCAAGGTTTAATGTGTACGGCGTTTGTTTTGTACATCTAGGTTTAATGTGTACGACGTTTGGTTTGTACATCTAGGTTTAATTTGTACGGCGTTTGTTTTGTACATCTAGGTTTAATGTGTACGGCGTTTGTTTTGTACATCTAGGTTTAATGTGTACGACGTTTGTTTTGTACATTTAGGTTTAATGTGTACGGCGTTTGTTTTGTACATCTAGGTTTAATGTGTACGGCGTTTGTTTTGTACATCTAGGTTTAATGTGTACCTGACCATTAGGCCAACAATATAATCATATGCTGATTTTCGATAGGAGATCTTCACTGTTGACAGGCAAGTCTGAGCTAGCTGAAGGCGCTTCCTACCGCTCATCAGTGGCGTCGCTAGGTGGGGTGTCACCCGGTGCGGTACCTTATGGTGACACGACCCCCTCGTACCAAATGAAAAATGTGTAGGCTATATATCTATGTCATGTATATATTTACTTGCAGTAGGTGTCACCCCGCCCCTCCCATTATGCCCCCGCCTCGCGACGCCCCCGCCTCGCGACGCCCCTGACGCTAATGCAACACTCTCCATCTCCACAAAATATTTGACAAATTTGTGACAATGACTTCCACCACAAATGTGATAATTTATCCCCGTTTAAAATGTGACGACCCCCCCCCCCCCCACCCAACTGGCTCCCACCCCCTCCCGTCCCCACTCCCCCACACTTACCACGGGTCATCCATCTCGCCGACCTTGAGCGAGAGTGTTATTGCTTTCAGATCGCCCAGGGATTCCTTGACACTCAACATAAACCAAACAGAGGTGCCTGTCTGGGGACGGTACGTGCAATCATTGTATTCATTTCAGCCACAATCTGCGTGCTTTTAGTACTTCTCAACGTAATAATGCAATAGGATGTTTTTTACCAAAACATTAGCAATAATAAATAACAGAATCATGTAACAAAGAGATCGTAAACAATTCCTACACAAATATATCGTTTTGCATATCTAATATAAGGTGCACTTTTTAAAAATAAACAACCAGTCTAATATATAAGCAGAGGCGTCGCGAGGCGGGGTCGTGGGTGGTGGGTGCGGACCGCACCGGATGATACCATTTGGGGGGGGGGGTGACACAATGGCGAAACATTAAATATATAGAAGAACAATTATTTTTACTTGTTAAATTAATGATTAATTAGAGTTAAAGTGCCTAAACTACAAAGTGACGAGCCCGCCTTGGGGACGAGGGTGACACCAGGTGTCAAACTTGCTAAGTATAGAGAACACGATGCAGCACGGGAGTGCATTAATAATCGACTATAGATAAACATTTTTACTATTAGCTGTGCTTACTTTCAAACTAAAAACGGGCTGCGGTGACACTAAATGTGAAATTTAAAGATGAAAAACAGGGTTGATTTTTTAATTTAATAACTGATCAATCAATCAACGATTGGGGAGAGAGTGGCACCCTAAATAAACAGCCCTACACGATATTACAGCCAATACAATAAAGCTCCACGTAAAAACTCGCACGTACAAAACGCCCTTCACAAAACGCCCTTCACAAAACGCCCTTCACAAAACGCCCTTCACAAAACGCCCTTCACAAAACGCCCTTCACAAAACGCCCTTCACAAAACGCCCTTCACAAAACGCCCTTCACAAAACGCCCTTCACAAAACGCCCTTCACAAAACGCCCTTCACAAAACGCCCTTCACAAAACGCCCTTCACAAAACGCCCTTCACAAAACGCCCTTCACAAAACGCCCTTCACAAAACGCCCTTCACAAAACGCCCTTCACAAAACGCCCTTCACAAAACCTCCTACCGAGAAAGCTCCAACACTACCTTAAAAAGCCCGCATAGAGGGTGTAGCGAGCACGCCCCAGTGGTCCTCTTCTCCCCCACCAGCGTTATGATGGGAGTTCCCTTGGTACCGCTGTACTTGACAAATCCAGTCTCGATGCTAATTAAGTACTGCTCGGCGGCGAATGGTGTGAACAAACCTTTGAGTAGGTGGATTTGTTTCTGGGGATGATAGTTTACTACAAGTTTTTATTTCGTGGATTTGTTTCTGGGGATGAAAGTTTACTACAAGTTTTTATTTTGTGGATTTGTTTCTGGGGGTGATAGTTTACTACAAGTTTTTATTTCGTGGATTTGTTTCTGGGGATGAAAGTTTACTACAAGTTTTTATTTTGTGGATTTGTTTCTGGGGGTGATAGTTTACTACAAGTTTTTATTTCGTGGATTTGTTTCTGGGGATGAAAGTTTACTACAAGTTTTTATTTTGTGGATTTGTTTCTGGGGGTGATAGTTTACTACAAGTTTTTTTTTCGTGGATTTGTTTCTGGGGATGATAGTTTACTACAAGTTTTTATTTCGTGGATTTGTTTCTGGGGATGAAAGTTTACTACAAGTTTTTATTTCGTGGATTTGTTTCTGGGGATGAAAGTTTACTACAAGTTTTTATTTTGTGGATTTGTTTCTGGGGGTGATAGTTTACTACAAGTTTTTTTTTCGTGGATTTGTTTCTGGGGATGATAGTTTACTACAAGTTTTTATTTCGTGGATTTGTTTCTGGGGATGAAAGTTTACTACAAGTTTTTATTTCGTGGATTTGTTTCTGGGGATGATAGTTTACTACAAGTTTTTATTTCGTGGATTTGTTTCTGGGGATGATAGTGTCCAAGTTTTTATTTCGTGGATTTGTTTCTGGGGATGATAGTTTACTACAAGTTTTTATTTCGTGGATTTGTTTCTGGGGATGAAAGTTTACTACAAGTTTTTATTTCGTAGATTTGTTTCTGGGGATGATAGTTTACTACAAGTTTTTATTTCGTGGATTTGTTTCTGGGGATGATAGTTTACTACAAGTTTTTATTTCGTGGATTTGTTTCTGGGGATGATAGTTTACTACAAGTTTTTATTTCGTGGA